GGGGGCGAGGAGGACGGAAGGACCGGCGGATGCGGGCGGGATGCCAGCCAAAAAACTAGAACCCCACACAGAGATGTGGGGAAAAAAAAAGTGAGAGTGAGAGACCTTTTGGACCTGTTTCTTTCTTCAGCGTCTAAGGGTCGGTCTGCCACTCCAACTGAACGGCTGGAGACCTGTAGCCTCAAATCACGGACTCGCGAGTGCTGCAAGAATGCAGAGAGAGAAGGACAATGAGGAAGGACAATTTGCGTTCTTTTCCTCTCGGATCTCAGAATTTCTAGATCTTTTCTATCTTTCGTCTAGCAATGTAAGTTTACCTGAGCCGTCAGCTGCACCCTTCGGCAGATCGGACCTTCCGACTTCTTTGGCGAGGGTGGCCTGAAATCCACCGACCGTTCATGACCGGTGTCAGCTTAGTGGAAAAGCTGAAAAGGGCTTTTGACTGAAGAGAAGGCTGAAAGGCTGAAAGATACTGAAAGCGATGACCTCCAACCTACTTAGCGATGGCCTCCGCGCTACTAATGGAAGGCTGAACAGCGGAAAGCAATGCTTTTTGAAGGCCTTGGTACGTCTGGCACATCATTGCGGTCTGCGACCACGGACATGGCATCTGCCTCAGATCGCTCTCCCTCATATACTGATTCTTGAGCACACTACCTGCATGATAGGCATGAACTAGAGTATGTTGAACAAACTGCAGCACAGCCTGATTGGAGAAGTCCTTTTATGTTGGGTGGAGTCAGGTCGTATTCTTGAGAAAACTAATAAACTATACTCGATATGGACATCTCTTCTTTCACCAAATGGAGTCAGTTTTCTCTCTTCCGTTTAAAGCTCCAGGCCAGTTCATCCATGCGCTCTAGCAGGGAGTTGGCCTCCACTGAAGCAATCGGTGTTTAAACGCTTGCCTAGCTTTGTACATAAAGACTGGGCATCTGCTTTGCATGTTGCAGCTCGACCTGTTCCCGTGTCATTCCGCGGGCCAAGGTTCCTTGTCCATTGGCCTGCAAAAATGCTACCCATCATGATCCGATTGTTTGATGGAATTGCTCAAAGGACAAACACTCACCATGGACCATGTGCCTCCAAGCTGGTTTTGAAAGCTTCTTGAAGCTCGGAACGGTCCTGTCGTGGAAGCACGGTGTTGATGTTCAACAGCGCAAAAAGCGACACCGTCCTTCCATCCCAGTGCACTCCACGTGCCATCAGGACCTGAAACCCCGTGGAACAAAATGTTAAAACCCACTAGCGCCAAACTACTAGCGATGTGGCCTCCAACCTACTGACGATGGCCTCCAACCTACTAGCGATGTCCTCCAACCTACTACCGATGGCCTCCAACCAACGAATGATGGCCTCCAACCTAGTAGCGATGGCCTCCAACCCAATAGCAATGGCCACCAACCTAATAGCAATGGCCACCATCCTATAGCAATGGCCTCCATTCTAATAGGGATGGCCTCCAACCTAGTAGCGATGGCCTCCAACCTAATAGCAATAGCCACCAACCTAATAGCATTGGCCACCATCCTAATAGCAA